CTAGGATAGTAGATCGACGGGCGGATCGGGAGGGAGTGTTGGCGGATAGTGTGACGGGGGAAAAGGCGGCATATGTTGGTGGTGCGCCGTTGGGAACCTGGCCGTCGTAGGTAGGCAAAGAAATGCCAGAGGAGTTGTCGCGGGTCGACATGGGGGAGCTGAGTTGTGACAGCCAGGGAGTCTCCTAATGACGCAGAGTTCAATATTAGCAAACAAGATCGTGGCAAGCTTTGCTCTGCTGGTGCAGTGTACCCAAGCCGACCAAGTCAATCAACGCTGATGATTCAAGTCGCAAGTGCGTGGTGATCGACAAGCCCCATGACGTGCATACGTCTAGATGCGACACAGCATTACTCGGCCAGCATTGATGGCAAAAGAGGAAAATTCGTAGATAAAAGGTGATGAAAAGATACGAAGGGAAGGGAAGAATCAAAGAGAGCTCGCAAGCTAGGGATGGTTTGGGGGAAGTATGTATATATCTAAGTTTGGGAGTGGGCGCCAACTCACAAACGCAGCCATGAAAATGAGTGGCCGTGGCGGGTATCTATTCGCTGTCCCCAGATTACTGCAGTGGTGTGCTAGTACCTGGCCCGGCCGCTGTAGCCTGTCTGGTGGCTCAGGTCAGCGCAGTGTAGCGCCTCGGTCCAGGACTTTAGGTGGTAAAGCGCAGGCGGCAGCAAATGTCGACGTCTAGGTCATCGGCTGTCGCATAAAGCCCACTGAATCGTTCCTCGATCTCGCGCTGTGTCGCGTTCTCAGTATGCAGCCATGGCATCGTCTGGCACATGTGTACATGGATGTCGAGCTTGTTTCGCCTTATCGCATGGTGAGAATGTCACCGAGGAGGGTGGCATGCAGGTAACTCTTGCTCTTCTTGGTCTGCCACCTCGCGTGGTAGTAGTCGACGTGGTCTTCCTCGAGCGGCGCCGTCGGATGGAAGGGGATGAATGAATGCGGGAGGGTAGTAAGTACTGCAACAAGGACGGGAGACGAAAGGCAATATGAGGACCGGCCAACCGCCCTCGCCCCCATCTAGCAACGCCCATTCCGCCCGCAGATGTCGCCCGGCAGAGCTTAGTAGGCAATTGCCCTTCGGCTGTCACATGCAAATCCGGGGATCGCCCAGCAGCCCGCAGCACTCCGCGAAATCCTGCGGTGCGCAAGTGAGGGTCAGAGGACCAGACTCTGGGTACTGGGCACATGCCAGATTGAGACTGACACTGACACTGACAAGACGCATAGGTCAAATAAATACACAAGTGGGTGACAGGAGAAATGAGACCCCAAATGGAAGAGTTGGCTATTAATCGACTACTTTCTGCAACGAATAGAGAATTATAGTAGTATAAAACCAGAGAAAATAATAATAAATGCAGTATTGTCTATTATTGGGACTCAATAATTTGATAATACCGGTCCCAGACTTGAGAATAAGAAGCTAAGTGTTTCATTGTCTCAATTTCAATGTCACCCACTTGACACACACACATACACACACTTGGCAGCCAGGCACACTTGGTGTCGACAAAAGAAATAGATTTCAATGAGTGACTAACAGCTAACAAATCCGGAGTATATACCCAAAACGAAACATTGACATATATCCAACTTGAAAAAAAAGCCCAATCTCTATGATAATCTCATATTGTATCGTGGGGTATCTATCGTACCTCATCGCATCGTAAGGCAGTCCATAAAATCGGAACCGATATCTCGTTGCGTCCAAGTCGAAATCGGTCCCGAGCGAACGCTAATAATAAGTGCTTGAATGGCGGCAATTGCCTCGGAGCTGTGGCGGAAGGACATTGTATGTGTAGTCCTTCATGGTCGTCTATAGTTTTATTTTAAGGAACAAAGAAAAGAGTGCGCGGTTACGAGCTGTTGCCGCCACACGAGCAGCCGGAGCCTGGAATCATGTCAGTAATCGGTCTCTGGTATCAATTCTCTTCATATTCAATTCCTGTCAAGGTGAAGAGAGTATGAGGATTGGCAAGACTTACAGCTGCCGCTACCGGAGGTGGAGCTAGTGCATTCACCGTCGCCAGCCATTTTGATATATATATAAGTTCAAAGGTAATAGAACCTAAAAACAAGCGTTTGGGTATAAATGTTTGGAAAAAGCGTTTTCGTTTCGAGTATGAAACTCTACTTGAGGAGAAGAGAAAAGAAAAAGGCTCAATGCCAACGGGAGGATTGCTCTTCCTTTATAGCCCGCGCAACACCAAATGCCCCGTCCAGCCTCTGCTGCGGGAGCAATATTGCCTCACTTACAACACATGAATGTCGGTCAAGAGGATCAGAGTCCCTGGGCGGAGATGGTCCACTCTGCACTATCAATCAATCATGGGATCACGGAATATTGCTATCTTGCTCCACTCTCTGCCTTCAAAAGGGCTAGCCATCTGCAGAGAAGATGGAGATAAGTGCACGTCATCAGCACATTCAACCCTGGAGCATGCCAATGCTACTGCCACGGGCTTGCTTCGTCCTTTCACGTCGCAGGCATTTGCCTCTCCTCTCATGCAGCTCCAAAACGCTAACTCGTTTGAGAATCATCTCTATGCCGCCGTCGCTATCATCGCTTAGCCATGTAAATTCACCCCAAGCGAAACTCCTCCCGGTGTGAGGGTTATTGCTCCTCACTTATCGCGCCCGCCGCAAATTGGGCAGCCATGTATACCGCTTTCTAAGCGCTGACCGTTAAATACAGTACGGAGTCGGCAGAATACCAATTTCGAACCCTGGTGTGCCAGTTTCGCGTCACAAGGTCCGTTTTTGTACTACTCCACCAAACTTCCTAGGAAGTTAGCTGATGAAAAGACACGAAGGAAAGGGTAGTCAAAGAGAGCTCGCAAGTTGGGGATGGTTTGGGGAAGTAGGTATATAAGTTTGGGAGTGGGGGCCAACTCACAAACGCAGCCATCGCGACCTGAGTAGTTGTTTTAACGTGATTTGTCTCTTTCAACACGGGGTTATTTTAACGTGATTTGTCTCCATTCAACACGGCGGTAAAAAGATTACTCGGTACGGGACATATGTCTCCCGCCGACGCCGCAGACACATTTCGTTTCTTCGGCCGTTAGGCCGAGGCAGCCTGCTCAAAGCCCGAGGCAACCCGGGTCCTCGCATTGAGGACCGCCGTCCCCACCGGCCCTCTCTCCTCGTCGCCAGCCCGGCGACGGCGGCGGGGGGCCCGAACCGCCAACACAACCGGCACCACAAGCGCCAACACCCCCACCACCAGGACCTCGTTCGCCGTCTGAGACAGCGCTGCTGCTGTTGTTGCTGCTGTTGCTGCTGCTGTATGTGTGTGTGTGTGAACGAGAAGAAGGAAAAGTCTTTTGGGAAATACTTCAGAGGAAGAATTTATTAGACCCTCCCCTCTTCCATACTGCCTACCTCTGATGGAGATATGACAGGAGGTAGGCGCGAATGAGGTAGGTAGGTAAGTACCCACCATGTTACGTACCTACTTCCTTCTATCTTCACATCGTGCTCCTGGAGAGCGCCGGTTTCCCCTTGTGTACACACATGGGTTCGCTCTTTCTTTTCCTCTTGTCAAAATGATCATTGAGCAGCAGTGATCCTTTTATCTTTATCTCGGCAATAGATTCAGTAAGAATCAAGCTACGGAAAGCCCGGCCTACTAGAATATATATTTACACTACCTGAGTATTTCATTGGAAGAAAAGCAATCTACAGCCTAGTATTTATATCTTTTCGGGAGAGCAAACATGGACCATACGACAGGCAACTTGCGAACGTAAGCAGTTATTCCCTGTATAAGCCTCTTGCAGATTGGTACTGCTAAAAGAAAGTATAGACCAATTAGATACTGCCAATCTGTAAGCCTTGGGTCTTCCTTAGTACCCGCTGGTTCCCGAGTGATGTCTAATTAATCTACAAACGAAGATAACATCAGCCTCTCAGCTAACAGATATTAGTGTGCTGCGATTCAACTTTGGTTCACTCTCCTGAACCTAGACTCAATTACTACATTTAGTGTCGCATCGCGGGTTGCCTGATTTTCACTACCTCGGAAGATGCGCTGCGTATTGCCGAGTCGTTCGCATACCGCCATGAGCCCTCGCCGGCGGAGACAAAGTGTCGCATTGACTGGGCCAAATCCATGGCCGCAAAGCAAACACGTATACAAATACCGCCGTAAAATAACCATAACGCGTAACTGAGAATAACCATAGCTCCCTAAAGAGAACGGTAATATACTAATTATCATATTCCAAAGTTGTACATAGTAAGTGAGGGAGCTGTACAGCTGCTGAAGAAAAAAGGGGAAGTTCCCAAACACCAGTTTGATAACTTGACACCATATCTAGGCATCACAACATATTAAACTTCAGCCTTGTGCCCGGCTACGAGCCTCTTTTCCCGGCCGTATCTGAGGTTCAACACCAAGATAGCTGTACCCAACCATATTGTACATAAGGTTCATTAATACTAAAGGCTGTGCCCGGCAGTGACTCCTTCGTCGGCATGACTCCTTTTGCGAACCTTAAGATGCTGATTTTTATCTATTTAAAGGCCGCTGTTGCTGGCCTGGTCCTGAATGAACCGCACAGCTCAAGTCCATATCGACAATCTGCTCGCAAATCGCTGCCTTCGTCGTCGCAAACAAGCCCAAAAGTTGTACATTACAAACCAAAGATCACAAGCCACATCGTTGCCTCAACTAAATCCGCCATTACTAGAACTCACGCTTTCGCCACCTTCGCCCAAGTCTTCGCCGACACACCATGGGCCAGACACATAGTGCACGGTCCTCCAGAAAGCCCGGAGGTAGGAAAAATATAACAGCCTCGGAAGTAGTTCAAAATGACACTTCCAATTCTTCTCCTTCATGTGTAAAAGAGAATCACAGGAAATAACTCGTTGAGCCAACAGACCCACCACAACCGCCTCCAGCATACAGCGAACACCGCCGATTGATTGTTTTACCCCAAAAACACATGCTGGTTATTAACGAGAATGTGAACCTCGTAATGGAAGAGGTGTTAAACCAACTGGAGGCTGAACTCGAAGGCTCCCCTGGTCTTCTTGATGCTGCAGGTCATATTCGCGAGAGCTGTATTATGGTTGCCACCACAGTCGCCAGAACGATGCTACCAAATATAGCATATGAGGACTTGCATGAGGACTTAAGTAAAAGCGAAGTGCGTCTCGGAGATTTGCTTTTCGATCTAAAGAGCACTATAGTTGTGGAACACCGAGTGGCAATCGGGATGATCTGGGCGAGCGCCGTGACACGGGTTGCCTACCAGACGAGGTCGGACAGGAAGGACTACCCAACAGGAATCTGGGTTGCGATCCTGGTCCAAGTCGTTCATAGGGAGGCTGCGGCTCTTGGTATCGTGGAGCTCAGGAAGATTGGAGGGGCCACGAAGGTTCGAGCGTCGCTCTGTTGATTCGGCCCAGTGTTTGGTGGGTGATTGACTACCTACCTGGCGATGGGGAAAGAGGGGTGGCAGACGACAACAAGGGCGGTAATTAGGACTAGGTGGCGGTCGACAACGAGTGAGATGCGCCTGTTTTTGTCTTATCATATCCGATTTAGGCCAACTGCTGGTGGTTAGGTTTCTATCTTTGATAGCTCTTGAATTTCTGCAACTTACTAGCTTGGCAATGATTGACCAACTCGAGCTGCAACCGAGACTTGTCGATATAGAGGAATGAGTTGAAAAGAATAAAGTAAAGGGGTGTATAAAGAAACAACAATGAGAGGCCGCAGATTGACACACATTGACATACATTGAGACACACATGGACACCCACACGCCGACACTCACACAGTGACCTGAATTTATAATCGCAAGCACTGCTGACGACAACGGGCAACAGCATTGACAATGGCGGGCAACGATATTGAGCCAACAAAGACAGTCCAGCATTTTCCCCTTCGATGCCCGAAACTCCAGCCCGAAACTCCAATACACTATGATATGGACGTCAGGTCAACATCATCTTGGGCCGTCAGGTAAAGGATGTGAAGACAGTTATGCGTGCAATATGGGTAATGGCGGGGTTTCGACGTGCATTGACGGGAATCCCGGATACACCTCTCTCGGGCTTCTGGTTCATCGTGGTTGAAGAAGAATAGGATGTGACGGTAGGTAGATTGTGATTGCCGTAATGTTTGGGCGCACAGCATCTTTGTGACTGTGACGGGAGAACCCATCTAGCGACCCAGCTACAATGCGAGCTCAGTTATCATGAGTTCTCTCGCCAAAAGTGTATAGCTACGTATCCAACCGTCTTTTCGAGATAAGACTTAATTTCATGGTACGCAAACGAGAGGACAATAAGAGGTATTTGGAATCGCCGAGAAACTCTGCTCAGTGAATTTGATGCCCAGTGAGTGAGAAAAGCTAGAACTATAAGTTCTCACAGTGCTCGCACATGGTAACCCCCCTCAAAGATCATGTTGAGGAGTATATGTTGACTATGTTGTCAAAACCCAGTTAAGTAATACCTCATATATTCACAATGATAAACTTATTCCGCTATTTTGGAGTGCCTGGTATTTTAACGAAACGGGATGGAGTTACTTGCAACTTGTATAGAATCATAATACTACAACCATCGGTGCCTGGCAAATATCTAGAGCGAATAAAAGTGCCCCAATCCTAAACCGCATTTCGACTGGAACTTGTATACCCCTGCCGTTCGTGATTTCCTTGAGAAACGTAAACTCATCTGGGCTCATATCAGCCTCCGGGGCTATGCTTATACTTGGCTGGACTGCCTCTTTTTTCTTCTTCCACGCCTCGAATGTCTTGTTCGATTTCGCGAGCGATTCTTCCGCGCATAAACGACAACTCCAAGAACCAAGCCCGAATACACAACTCTCCTGCTCGCCTTTCTGGCATTTCAACTTGTCGGCCAGTTGCCCGAGCTGGGAGCTTATATCCTTGACACGGTCGGGTAGAGATGCATATGGCAATATCGTGACTTTTAACGAATTGTCTTTCATACTTTCGACGACTTCGTTTTTCTGTGATTGTGACTCCTTTCCGCGTTGAGAATAGTTTATCCCCTTGGTAGCTCTTCGCGCTGGTTGGATGCGTCTAGTTGTGCCTGGTGAAATGTCTGATCCTTCAGTGTCCAACCTATTCCTGATAGGAAGATCCGAATCATGAGGTGACACTAGCTCCTCGGCCGCGATATGGGCAAAATGAGGTATACACAGCGGCGTCTCCAAGAAGGCTGCGGCAAGGGGCGATCGTGGGTGGTTTGCGGACGCCATATTGCACTTGGCCAATAGAAATGGCAGATAAAAATGGCCGTGGGATGTAATTTCAATCACGATGATTTCAGAGGTCCAGCTAATCTTATACAGAGGAAATGTTCTTTGTTCATCCATTGAGCGGCTTTCCAACTAACAATGGTGCATTGTCCTCAGACCCCTGAACTAACACGGGTTATCAGAGTTCGTAGACAGACAGCTCTTTCCAAATGATACCCGGAAAGTACTTAAAACTCTCATTGTTTTCTTCCGGTCCTTTTGCAGATATAGCTACGGGTAGTAGCTTCCCCAAGAAGCCACATAGAAACCCTTTGTCAGGATACACAAAGATAATATCTCAGCAAAATCAGATCAAACGCCAGGTTCGCTGAAACCCTCCGCGATTGTATATTGTTTCGGCAAAATACATATTTAACTGAGCCCTTGTCTAGCACCAAGCTTCCCTCGTCCACATCATGTCGACTACCTGATATTCAGGAAACAGCAACAACTTCCCACACTACCACTTCTTAATCAGTGACAGCCGGAAGTCAAAATGCCACCTTCTGAAATCGGATTTGAGAAATGCTACTACTGCAATCGTTTGAGAGGGGGAGCATTGTCTACCATATTCAAAATGGGAACCTCTGAAATGAAAGGGAAGAAGATATATGGATAACCAAAGACAGTAACTCTCCATGTCCTTCTTGTGAGATGAGACTACTAGCGCAACAACATGAGACTAATGAGACTCAAGAGCCCAAAAGTACGGACGATTAGCCTTTAGATTGCCTATAACTCGTTCGAAGTCCGAGTAGCAGATTAATCTAACTCTTGGTTGGTGAACAATATGCCTACAGTGTCAAAAACGAGAAGATAACAACCACCAAAGCCCGTGTCTAGCCTTGCATTAAATAGGCGCCTAAGTCAAGTGTCAAGTTTATTCATACCCAATCAATTCAGGTCAATTCGTTTCACCCATTACCCGCCATGAAAACACTCCATGATTATTGTAGTATACATGTATGGAATATACAGTCAGCCTGGTGGGCCATATCATACAGACAACACGGGATATAACGTCGTTATTTTACATCTTCCCCCTCATCCATTCTCTCTCCTTGTTTCCGGAGAGGCCGTCCGTACCAGTAACGGGCAAGTCACGCTTCTTGAGTTCCTCCTCGATGATCTTCCATCGGCCAATCTCAATCTCCTTGTCGATGGGGCCAACCTTGCGGCTGTGAACCCGGACATTAGGCAGCTTAGTTACCTCTGGCTTGGCCAAGAGCTCATCGGCCAGGCTAGTGGACTTGCGTTGCTGGAACAGCGTGGTGAGAACGTCCCTCACATTTCTGGCAGCGCCAAGTTTGGAGTCTGCGATCAAGTTTCCAGTAAGCTGGTAAATACGCTTGCGGATCTATGCCCCGGAAGTCAGCACTTGTGCGCATATAAGAAAGTTGTAGGAAGGCACTTACTGCAAACTTGGTTTCATCGTTCACCTTGATCTCCTTCCACTTGGCGTCCCACTTCTTGGTGATTTCAGCAGCCTCCTCGAGTGTAATTCTGGGAGAAGCCTCTTCGCTGGAGCTGATGGCATCTTGGGTCAAGTGGCTCACGACAGAGGAAACATCTCCCTGCAGCGAGAATTGACCATCCTTACTAACAATCTCCACAGCTAACGTCTGCTCGAGGGCTTCCCTAGAACCCTCTGGCCACTTCTTCACGAGTTGCTCGGCAAGTTTGTTTTCCTGCTGGAGAGACAACACCTCAACCACGGCCCGTCTCACTTGTACTTCAATGATGGTCCGTTCAACTTCCTTCTCGGCCTTTCCAAAACTTCGAAACTCGCTCTCCTTGCCCCAGTGTTCTGGCTGATCCCACCATTTGTTAAAGGGTGGGATTTCCTCCAGCTCCTCAATTGTCAAAGCTGGGGTATATGTAGGGTCGTTGGCAGCCAATTCCTTCTCAGTGGTGGCTTCGGTACGTTTTGGGGGAAGAGGCAGGCGCCATTTAGCGACTGATCTTGGATGTCGAGGGATCGAAATTGCCTCCTCAGGGAGATTGGATAAGGGCTCTTCAGGCTCAGGCCGTTGGGTATATGGATCCTCTGGCCCAGGAGCCGGTCCCTTCCAGAGCTTGCTTCGGAGGTCGCACACTGGTGCCGTTGTCGAGAGGGTACGGGTCGCAGAGAACGGCAACCGAGGGAGGGTTTTTGAGGAAGCCGAAGCAATTTGGAGGGACTGAAGCCCCCTTACACGCGGTATTCGGGGCATTATGGCGTTGAAGGTTGACGATTGGCGTATGTGAAATCGCCTTGGGAAGATTTCATGGCCAAATCTTGAAGACGGCCGACTTTTCTGGTCAATGGGCTCGGTAGCCAATCAGCGTTGCTCTCGTCGTGTGCTCCGAGAGCACTAGCCACACTGCACTAGCCACGATTATTATTAGACTGCTTGCGACCTCAAACCGTCTCGTCTTAGATGTGCACAGCTCACCAGTAGTTATGACGGTCGCATCGCATTACCAAAGAGACGTTTAACTTGGCATTCAATAGCTAAGAAGACAATCTTTGAACTACCCAACCATCGCGATGGCGCGCATCAATGTATTACTGCTCTACCTGGTTTCCTTGATAACCCTAGTAGCTGCAGGTGGTAAGTTGCGCCTTGGAATTGGTGAGAGCATCAGCCAGACTAACTTCACCAGGCTCTCCCACCTTTTGCAAATGCACATGCTTCAAAAACAGTACTCTCATAATCCTGGACGAGCCTGCCGAGCCTAATAACCACGCCGATCTCGCTTTTGCCAGCTTCCGAAGCTTGGTTTCCTCCGATTATGCCACCGTCAACGAATCGCCTCGAGCCGTGTCGGGTCTATGCGCGGAGTGCACCAAGGCTTTCTGCCTCGGCCAGGAGCTAGACATCTGCAAAAACGCCAAGGAATCGGACGTCGCAACGCAATGCTTCAAGCGGGATAGCATCAAGGACAGGCTCATAGTCTGGGGTTTCCTCATCGGCACCCTTGGTCTTCTTAGCTGGGCAGCGATCAGACGTTTAATGGCATGGAGGCAGCAGAGGGCAGCCAGCAGGAATGGCATAAACTACGGTCATATCCCTCAAAGATGAGGATCAAGTGTTAGTAGAGATGCTTTACGAATGGTCCACCCTTGTCTGGCACAGCGGA